GATCGAGAGGAATCGGAAGCGAGGAGATCGGTATTGAAATCGCCCATGATGATATGGTGTGCATACTCGGATCCTAAAGATTCCAGAATCGGTTCGAGACTGGAGAAGTAGTCAACGTTGGGGGGACAGTAAACAACGCCCAGAAGAGTTTTGGCTCCACTGATGGTAACCTCAAGGAAAAGGTATTCTGCGGATGCAGAACTGGAGGGAGGGGAAGACGTTAAGATTTTGTATGAGATTGAGCAGCGGAGATAAATAGCAACACCACCTCCTCTTCTGTCGACTCTGTCGTTGCGTATGAGAATGAAACCAGGGAGGGAGTACGACGTAGAAAGCAGGTTGGGTTTGAACCAGGACTCAGAAATCAGTATAGCATGTGCTTCGGAGTTGGTGAAAGCTTCAAGTAAGTCACTGTAGTGGCTGGGAATGCTTTGAGCATTAATATGACAAACGTTTAAGCAACATTTAGAAGGGCGACCAAACGTCTGTCTCACAAAGTCGCCAAGTGTATCTGATAAGGAGCTAAAACTCTCGTCACCCGAAATAGTAGCAGATTCGTTTGCAGAATGAAACGATTCATCATCAGACAGCATGAAATTAAAATAAGTATAAATAAAATAAAAAAAATATGTAAAGTTATATAACCAATAATATCGGATGACAACAATACGATGTCAAACTTTTTATAAATAAATACAGAATAATATAATATGTATAAGATATAAATTATTAATGTATTTAGACAATACAAGAACTATGTTAGCGCGTAACTCAGAACATTGTCATATCTACACCACCCGCCAGTCTTGACCCACTCAAATATGTACAGACAGGCAAAAATAATCGATTAAAGTTAACGCATCGTTTAACCCTGCACAACAAGTCAAATAGAGCTAAAGTAAGACGAAACAAAAGAATAGTATCGATGCGATGTGAATCCGAACGTAGCTAGCCTTGTGTCAAATCTCAAAGTAGTGGATTTCGAAATGTCATTTTAACATAATTTACTCTATTGTGGGTTAATATTTGTTATTGTTTGTTGATAATTATAGTTACGATTCTATATATTACAATGAGTAAAAGCAGGTGATAAGGAACACCGCCAATTCAAATAAAATTATAAATAACTATATGACACAAATAGCTACGCCCTTACATGGAGAAACTTATAGATAATCAATAACAAAGATTTTGCACTGTATAAATTATTATTTACATGAAGAACTGTTACCACTGGTCTTGGCTGTAGAAGAAGTGTTAACGACCGCCCCGGGATGTTTCTCCAGCAGCGGCAGGAGCTGCTCCATGCATATTACCTTGTGGCGACGTCCATCCGGCGTTTTGATAACAATATTACCGCCTTGCGTCCAAACAGCTCTCATACCAAAGTGCAGTCGTGCTTTGCCGAAGATCAGTTGTCGAGCTTTGGTCAGAAACTCGCGCACCGAGACAGATGTGCCCTTTAACGCCGGCTTCGCTCTCCAAATGGAGGATCTTGTTTTCTCGCCGGCAAAACGCACTAAGATGGGCCGGGGACGGTCTTTGCTCAGGGTTCCAATCCTGTGGCAGACCTTAATGTTACCAGGTGATATGTCTTCCAAGCCCATTTTTTTATTGACAAGGTTGAGAATGGATGTGGCACAGTCTTCACTCTCAGCCTCGGGAACGCCCAAGAAGAGAAGATCCTTCCGTCGCTGCCTTGACTCCAAGCTATCGAGTAGACTGTGACAGTCGGAGATTTGCTTGCGAAGGAGCCCAAGCATTTTAAAAATGAGTTCGCGAAATGTACGGAACTCCTCTGCAACTTTGGCCACAGTATCTTTTGCTGGCACTCCGCTGTGTAGCTGGGCCTCGAGTTCCGTCATCCTTCGATTAAAGCTCTCTTCTAGGCTCCTCTGTGCCGATTCTATCTCCATTAGATGAGACATTGCCGATGTCTAAGTGAGTGTGGATGTTGAACTGGCAGGTGGGATAGTGAAAGGATGTTATATTACATTAAATGTTATGACTATGTAAGTAGCAACTAATTGCACTATTAAGCACCTGAACTGAACCAAGAAAATGTGAAAATCAACTAAATAGATTAAATAAATAAATTATCAGGAGCAGAGTATGTCTTTACTTTTTTAGCACCTACCCGCAATTGCTGGAAGTATCTGTCAACCGAAAGAGGTAAAGATTTTAATACAAATATTAAACACACGTGAAACAGAAGTTAAGCTTAGTTATTTTAGACCGGATGTGGATAGATTATCTTGCTATAGAATTTGTTCTTTTGAAAAGCAACATTCAGATCTCAAAAGAGTTCGGGAATTATTAGCAATAGTTTGGTCTGTAAAATACTTTCGACCGTATCTCTATGGGAGGAAGTTTATTATTGAAACTGATCACAGACCATTGGTATTTTTATATAATTTGACAGATCCTTCCAGTAGGTTGTTAAAGTTTCGGTTATTACTCGAAGAATACGATTTTACGGTTGTGTATGTAAAAGGTCGTGATAATGTAGCTGCAGATGCATTGTCACGAATAGAAATTGACAGTGAAGAATTGAAGGAAACGAATGAACATGTCTTGTCTGTACTAACAAGGGCACAAAAGAGCAAACTTGACGAAATTCCTTGTAATCGTACTTCGGTGGCTAGCATTCCTCAGGACGATTGGACTGATCACCCAAGAGTTGTAGAAATGTTAAAACTACCAAATGATTACACGGAATTGGTATTTGTGAATGAGGAAGAATGGAAAAAGGTTAAAACCTGTGTGTCAGAGGAGCACGGGGATTATGCGTATTCGTCTACAAATAGTACTATATTTGTGAAACTGTTTACTCAATCACAGCGTACACGAGCTGTCTCTGTGAGAGAAATGGAATCATTTTGTAAGAATTTACATATAGATACTTTATATGTCATTAAAGACGACGCAAATTTTAAAATAATAAAAGAGCTAGCTCAGTATATAAATAAATTGCCTAAGTGGTCCGGACCCCGCTTATGCGTAATAAAAGGCGTTAAAAAGATTAAAGACGACGATACAAAGAGAGTCATTTTAAACGATTATCATATTTTACCTACAAGCGGACACGCAGGAATAAGACGAATGACTAATAATATTCGTAAAAAATATTTTTGGACAGGATTAGAGCGCGATGTAAGCAATTTTTAAAAAAAATGTAGTAAATGTCAACGTTATAAATATTTGAAAACGGTAAAAGAACCCATGGTTATAACCGACTGTGGAAATTCAGCTGTTGATAAAATTTATTTAGACTTGGTAGGTCCTTTAGCGAGAGATAATAATTACAGCTATATTTTAACGCTCCAGTGCGACCTCACCAAATATGTCGAGGCGTATCCGATAACAGCTAAGGATGCGCGCACAGTTGCTATGTGCTTGGTAAATAATTTTATACTCAGATACGGTGTCCCACGCCAGATCGTAACCGACAGGGGCACTGAATTTATCAACTCGACAATGAACCATGTATGTAAAATATTAGAAATAAATCATTTAAGTTCAACAGCCTTTCACCATGAAACTTTAGGTTCGCTAGAAAATAATCATAAACATTTAGGTTTCTATCTCAGAATGCAGGTAAATAGTCAAACTCAGGAATGGAGCTCATGGTTGCCGTACTGGTGTTTCTCTTATAACACTACTGTACACTCAAGTACAAAATTTACACCTTATGAATTAGTATTTGGGAGACAATGTAGTCTACCTAATAATCTCACAACCACTTTAGATCCAATTTATAATTTTAATGATTATGCAAAAGAACTTAGATATCGCATACAAAAATCACAAATTGAAGCGAAAAGTAACCTGTTGAATTGTAAATTATTTAGAAAAATGAGATACGATAAAAGTGTAAACCCAATTACTTTTAAAACTGGAGATTTTGTTTTAGTCAAAAATGAAAATTGTAACAAACTTGATCCATTATACGTGGGTCCATTTAAGGTTGTCAAGGATGTATCACCTAATGTTATCGTTTCAATTAATGGTGGAGAAAAATGTATTCATAAGAACAGGACGAGACTTTATAATCAATAAAAGACTTTTCGCTCCGATTGTACTTTATTCAGTGTATGTTATTGTTTTTATCTTACTCTTAGTTAGGCACGTTTGTAATACTAGTTCGCCTCGAATTTGTTATGAATTATGATATTATTGGAACATTACTCTTATATTGTAAGCAATGTATCTATACTCTATAATTTTAAAATAAATAACCTATATTTTAAATTATCTTGCTATAGTATTCATGTATTTCACTTTTCTACATAAGAAAACAAAAAAAAAAAAGAAAAAAAAAAACTGTAATTGTATTTTTTTTTTTCTTTTGGAAGGGCATGTGACGTAGTAATCTTAGTATTTAAGACATGTGTAATGTTGTAATCGGGGATTAATAAAGCTATCGCAGTACAAGCAACATCTCTTATTATCATCTTATTAGTGCGAGTCCCGTCCTTACAGATGCTTGACTGCATGTTTGGCCGGTACTGTAAAATTAATTGGTTTAGTGGTGTCTGGATAACAATCCAGAATGTCGCGGTAAGGATGGGATGATTGAACAGTGTTAATTGATTGGCCGGCACGCACCAGTGACCCGTGTACACATGTTTTTACATTCATATCTACTAACCTTTTCATTCGCAAATCTACTGCTAAATTATTTGTCCTTAAAAAACCGGCTCCCAGGATCGGTTGCTTGACGTCACATACCACAAATGTCCACACTATTGCTCTATATAACCCAATGTCTAGTTCGAACGACGTTGTACCGTAAGTCTTTATTTCAGTGTTATTTGCCGCGTACAGCTTATAATCGCACTTTACACGTTTGCCTACACTGACCTTGCTCGCGGGTATTACGGATACATTTGCGCCGGTGTCTACTAGGAATGATATGCCGTTTTTTCGATCTTGGATGCACAGGCGGTGGTTGTCTAAAATCGACGCGCCCCCCACTGCCGCTACAGGGAGCGTCGGTTTTAGTTTTTCTGTCTTCTTTGCCAACTCGCTGGACCTCGCTGCTGAGAACTGACAGGGGGGGTGGTAGTCTGCTTCTCCAGCCGCAGGGTTGCTGACAGTTCCTCGCGAACCTTCCGAATCGCTGATGGTATGCGCATAACCTGCTCCGTTGCTGTTGCTGTGGAGGTCTGAATGATGTTGTGGCTCCTCTGCCTGCTGACCAGTTTGTTCTTGGCCTCTCTTGGCTTCTGATTTGCTGTACCTCGCCGCGCAGCTGTTCGAAATTCTCCGTCATTTTCTTTATCTCATGTATCAGGCTGCTATCCTTCGTCTCTTCCTTTACTTCCGCTATCACCCCCTGTTTGATGGTCTGATGTACCTTATCCGCAATCGCTCCGAGTTTTTCCGCGTCTAACTGTTCGTGAGCCACTAAAGCTGTTCTTACGGGTGTGGGTAATCTCCTCAGCCATAGCATCTTTACCGTGGACGATGCTACACCTGCGTTTTTGCCTGCCTCGGCCATCCGTCTGAATAGCTGCGATGGCCTCTGTTCCCCGATTTGCAGGTCATCCATAAGCTTATTAAATTGCGTGTCCGGTGTGTCCTGGAATTCACTAATCAGCCTGGCCTTGAGTGCGTCGTAACTCTTCTGCGTGTCGTGTAGTAAATCACTGATGTAGACTAATTCCTCCTTTCCAAGTTTCCCGATCACCAGGTCAAACTTGGTGTCTTGGCCGACCTTTTGTGGCGTGATTATGGCCTCGAATTGCGCGAACCACAATTTTGGCAGTTCCCTCCACAACGGGGCGATCCTGCTTGCCACACTAATTGAGTGTAATTGCGACGAACTTTCTTCCTCGTGGTCACTCATTTTCACAGTGCGTTTCTTCTTTGTTCAGTACGAATCTACGGCGTTTGATCGCGGCCGGATGCGCGTAATTCGAAATCGCCACCCGCCTGGTTATGTTTAAAACTTTCGGGGTCACCACTTTAACTACCTATCTGAGGTGTTGAGTGGAGATGCAATAAATACTCGATTTAGGTAGTTAACCAAAGTTTATTGTATCACACGACACATAAATGAAATACACACAGAAAGGTTTAACCAGGGCGGAGTCGGGTGCGCGAATAGCCGTGTGATTGGTATCGAGGCTTGTAACCGACTACTATCGAGTCTTTGCGTCCGCCTGGCTTAGTAGAAAATGCTGACATTAAATAATAGCGTAGGGCTGTCGCCACATACATGATAACATATATTAATAATTTAAAAAATAAAATAAAAAATAATAACAGTCGCAAACACGACGACCACATTGCTATGGTTGGGTATTTCTTAGGTGGTTTAATTAAAAAAAAAAATATATATCTCTTTACTTTTATAAAAAAAAAAGAAAAAAAAAGAAGGTAAAAAGAAAGGAAAATGACGGTAATGCTACATTCATTCTAAATCACATAATCATTCTAAAATTATTTTCAGAAAAGTAAATATAAAAATATCATTTTTTGTGTTTAAAGCAAAAAAATAAATAAATAAAAAAACCTATTGTCAATTAAATGTTCTGCTGTTCAAATTAATTATTCAATTAAAACAATATCCAAATAATTAGTTAATTGAAACAATATTCAAATTCTTCACAACAGATGTTGTTTTTTCGTAATACGAGTATGATAAAATGTTTCAAGTTCCAAGTTTGCGTAATGACCTTTCCTTTATACAATGAAAACAATTCTCACCTAAGGGTGTTTGTGTATTTGCCTCGGTCATCGTAATCTAGTTGGAATTTTCAAACTACCGGACATTTTTGGTTCTTACTAGAAATAAAGTAACAAAAGTGCGCGCATATTATAAACTAGTGTTGATTTATATGGTGCAGATTGCACCATATAAATCAACACTAGTTTATAATATGCTTACTGTAGTGATTAACCAAAACGGACTCCCTACAAATATAATATGGACAAGATAAGATTTCGTGTGAGTACATAAAACATAAGACAATGCAATCTCTTTTCTTAACTTTTTTGAGTCATTGATTTAGAAACGTACGATCGCTGTTCCTTGTAATTACATTGTTTATTTTTATATTATGCTCACTAAGTGGACTGTAACGTTCTTGAGTATAATAAAGTTCTTTAAACCTAAATATTGTTAATTTCGAGCAATTACATCAGATCAGGTGACAAGTTGTTGTTTTATTTACCAACTTAGTTATCCACAAATAGTTCAAATTATTCCACGAGAAGTAGTATAACCTGCTACTTCAAATATTGGTCCTACAGAGCCGCATACGCCTTTTTGAGTACAACCCCTCGTACTAGCAGTGGATCGCTGTGCAACGGTACGAGAATCCCGTAGTGGGATAAGTCGCACGCGCACGTGTGTGTATACTTTGACCAAGAACCGGAGCGTTACTAGAACAATAATACACGGTTGGCAACAACTCAACCGGCGCCAAATGTAAGCAGAGCAACGAGTATGGTGCATCACAGAGGACGCCACTTGTAAGATTATTTGGACTGCATTTTTGTGAAGTGCAACTGTGAGTACATTTTGTTCCTATTAAAGCTACAAGATTAGTTTTTTAAGCAATTCTGTGTCGTATTTCTTAGAAGATTTGAACTTTGTAAATTTAGTTTAGTTTTAAGTAGTTGTAAAAATATAATGTGCATGGTACTTAGCTAGTTAGGACTTAAAAAATTTATATAAAACGGGGGAACCGTAAATCTATGCTGGTTTTGACCCCGGTAGTTTGACTCAGGTACAAGCTACTTTGCTTAAACACTTATAAATTTTTATTAGATCATTTAGTACTTAGAATATTATATGTTTGTCTTATAACTTGTATAGTGGTAAAATTTATTGAATCTAGTTTGTCTATAAACTAGATTCGACTAAGTATATATTCAAAAATATTATTATTTTTTTGTTGTAGGTAGTTCGTTTTTTCTTGGTAGATGCATTTTTGCCGTCAATAATACATAAAAAATTATGTGTTTTTTGTTTTGTGTATACCATTTTTGTAAATGGTAATAAATAACAAAAATGGTATATATTTGCGTTAAAACAATAATATACGCTGAAAAGGTATGTACTAAAACGTAAACAAGTGCACATAAACTTGTATATATTTGAAACAAAACTATAAGCTTGAAAAGGCGTGTACTAAATCTAACTAAATTAAAAAATCGTGTATATAAGTGGCAAAAATATGAGCACGAGAAGCATCTACTGGCAACTACAAAAAACACTGTGCGTAACGCTGTGCCCAAACCACGACAAGTTTTACTAGCCACAGCGTTAATAAAAGCTAAGTCTAAGACGGGTCATCAACAGTTAGTCCGAGCCTTGCTAGATCAAGGCTCCCAGGCTTGCTTTATTACTGAAGCAACTGTGCAATTACTGGGACTGAAAAGGATACCCATACAAGGTATTATTACAGGGTTAGGTAATAGTGGGTTGACCAAGGCCAAATATATGGTACACGTAACAATTCAATCACGTGCTGATCCTAAATTTGTGCTACAACTGGACGCCTACGTTTTAAATAAAATTACAGCTTGCCTGCCGGAGTGAGATATCAACTCCAGTAATTTCGAATGGGTTAAGGCCAAGGGCTTATATCTCGTCGATCCCCAGTTCAACACACCAAGCAAAATTGACCTCTTATTAGGTGCGGATATTTACAGCTACATCATTCAGGAAGGTATAGTCAAAAGCCCTTTCGGCACTTTGATCGCTCAGAGCACCGCCTTAGGGTGGGTCCTGTCGTGTGCAGTTGGTCCTATAAATAATGATAGGTCAGGTACAAGAAGTATAAGCGTGATGCACGCGCAGGTCAACGAAGACGACATACATCTTATTATGCACACATTATTAAAAAAAATATTTCACAATAATGTCGGTGTATTTTAATGCAAGTGTTACTTAGTCTATGAAAATAAACGACTATAGTGGGTAGATAAAAATAATATTAAAAATTTGGCTACGTTTGTAGTCAATAGATCGCAAAATGGAGGAACGTTTGTGCGGGTCTGCGAAGTACAAGGTAAAATTACTTCAAATACTATTTTAATACTTAATTTGTGAAAAAAAACATGATATTTATTTAATTAAATATATGTTGAATTGCCTATGAAGAAAATTTCAATTAAATTATAACGCTATACTGTTCAAATAGGGCCCTCAATAATTATGTATCTACAAATGCACACTGCCAAGTTCCTAAGTTAAGACCTTATAATTAATGTGTGCATTTTTGGATACATTGTCAAACTTATAACACTTTAACATTTATAATAATGTGTATATAAATTTAAAATATCCATAGAAAAGAATTATACAATAAGAATTATTTATTCATTTTAGGTCAACACACGAACATAAAAAATATTAGCGTTGGTCCTAAAACCTAGGGCGAGCTCAGATGTTGAGAAAAATGATTCTTCTGATACTGAAATAACGAGAATTAATGCAGATGGTGATGATAGTTCAGATCCACCTTCATTGCCATCATCACTAGAAAATCTACACTTATTATCGGACAGTGAAGACGAATACAGGGTAGTTTTAGTAACCGCTAAAGATTAAAATATTGCGAAGAATGTAAGTTTATCACCATCTAGTGTATCTGCTTTTCTATCAAATATTGCACAAAATATTACTATTCCACCGACTCCTTCACCAGTATCTTCTTCAATAGAAAATAGCTCCATACATGCATCAGTGCCTTCACCTTTTAATGCTACTCGATCCAAGAAAAGAACATTTGTAGTTAAAAAGACTATAGTAAAGAAAAAGAAGATGGAGGTTAAGTGGACTACTGCAAAATTCAAACATACTGCCGAAATTGAAGATAAAATATTTAACAAGCCATTGGAAACTAAATCACCTTTAAAATACTTTAAATTGTTTTTTTCGGAGGACATTTTCGAATTAATGATATGGTAATTACAAGAAAGTAATTTATATCATATGCAATTAAGAACTACACCTTCGAGTGTAACTTCAGGTGAAATAAAGGGCTTTATAGCTATCAATATCCTTATGGGTGTTGTACGTCTACCGGCCTATACTGATTATTGGTCTAAAGCATTTAGATATAGCAAAATAGCAGATATTATGAAATTGAAAAGATTTGAACAAATTCGACGTTATGTGCATTTTGTGGATAGCCTAAGTGACGATGGTGATCGTTATTTTAAAATTAGACCCTTATTAGAGAAAATCCGACAAAATTGTTTGAAAACTGAAGAGGAGAACCGATTTAGTGTCGATGAAATGATGGTTACAAGGGTACAAGAACTGGTATATAAAAAATAAACCGAGAAAATGGGGGTATAAGATCGAAGTATCGGGAATCGTATATGACTTTTTGGTTTATGGAGGAGAAGACACGTTAAGATATCATGAATTCAATGAGGAAGAAAATAGCCTAGGGTTAGGATCGAAAGTTGTTATAGCTTTATGCAAGTCGATCAAGGAGCCTGCATGCAGTGTGATATACTTTGATAATTTTTTTACATCCATAGAATTAGTGCATTACTTAAGAAATGAATACGGTATATTTTCATTAG